TAAGGATTACGTAGTAGTTAATTATATATAGGATGCTTTACATTATAGCAGCCCCGCTCTGGCTAACCTAGCAATTAATTATATAAATAGCTATTTAACTATTGGACTATATTAACACTAATAGGACTAGCCTTCTATAGTTATAGAATGTCTCTAATAGGATTCTAGCTAGAGTTACAGCTTCTTTAATTGTAACTAGTTCCATTATTGTACTATTAATGCTGCCTCCTTTTTTAATCTGTTAGAAAAGGGTAAATAATAGTATAAACTTCTTAAAGTATATAGTTACCCTAAGTTCTGCCTATCTATTAGCAATAGAGCTATTAGTAAAGATATTCAAACACTGTTCTTTTATTTTAAAATAGTTTTTATATACTTTATTAAAGCTATATTAGTTAGACTTTTAGTTAATTATTATTGTGCTCTATAGTAGGGCTACCTATGCTGGGATAGTTTCAATATTTGTTTCTAACTTGCTTAGCTACGTTTTTATATTGTAGAGAAGGGAAGTGAACAACTTCGCTTTAGGCTTCTCAACCAGTTTTCTAAGCTATGCTTTTAGTAAATTAGATTTTAATAATATATAGAGTCCTGCTTAGAATTTGCTAATCTTTAGTTATAATTGAATATGCAGGAGGGGAAGCAATGCTTTAGCATTGGACGCTTCAACTAAAACTATATAGAAACATTTGACTACTATTTAAGCCCCTATTTGCTATATAGGATTAAGAATCCTAGCTGTGCTATTATTAATCTTCCTTTTAAGAGAATAGGAGTACTATATTATAGCTATATAGTCTGTTTTTAAAGCTATAGTAGCTTAGTAAAGTTGCTATGCTGCTTATAGTCTAATATAAGCAAGGCGCTTAAATTAACTAGCGCTTCTCTATTCTCTAGTCTTAACTTTAGCTAAGTGATTCTTAAATTACAGTTTGGAATTAAAAATAACCTCTAAGATTCTCTCTTTTACTAAAGGCTTAACTACGTAATTGCCTACCCTTAATAAAGAGTCAGTTTTGCTAATTTTCCTCTAGTTCTATATAAAATATATAAGGATTATTTTATCGCTTTTAAATATAGCGCTACTGTTTTTTACCTATTAAAGGGCCTTTAAAACAACCTTATTATTAAGCATTAATATTTTTTTTTAACTAACTCTAAAATAGCCTATTATATATAGTTATTTATAAACCTTATATTTCCTTATCTCTTATTAATCTTCTTTTTTATTAAGAAGGCGTTAAAGAAAATATATAGAATTAGAGCAAATGTAGATTTTTATAAAAGATTAGACTCTGTAAAGATAACTCAACCTAATTCTGTCTTATTAATAAGTACTGTAGCAAGTTGGTTTATATAAAAGGAATTAATCTATACTATTATATAAGCTAGTATTCCCTTTATATATAACTAACTAATAAGCATTTATTAAAGAACGCTATTATATACTCCTTTTACATTAAAGCTGATAAGGAAGAGAACTTTCTTTTATTATTATACTTTAAAGATTTTCTTAATTAGAAGAAGTAGCGCTTAATTGTACAATTATTGCAGCCTAGCTTTAAATTATATTTTTAAAAGAAAATTAAAAGTTTCTGCTTAGTATAATATTTTTCTTACTAGTATTAGTTTTATCAACTTGCTTAGCGTAGCTAAGAAAGAAGAGCAGTATACTTTTGCTATTTAGTAATCAGGTTTCCCTAGCTTCTGTAATAGTAAAATTCGCACTATTTTCTATATAGCTAATACGTATCCTAGTTAGTACAACGCGTTAAAAATATTAGTAACTTAATTGCTTAAAATAGACTATAAGCGTTTTTATATAATATTTAGAATGCTGTTTATGCTTAATGCTTTATATAGGCTGATTTTAGCTATTGCTCTAGTTACTTCTTTAACTGAAATATCTAGGTTGTCTATCCTTATTATATTAGGATTTGGCGCTTCCTTTTTCTAATTTTCTAGAATTAGTAGAAAGAAGCATCAAAGTAGCTTAATTATTTTAGCATTATTGCTTTTAAGCTCTATTTTTTGATTATTAGTATTAGTAATTATAATAGGGATGTTGCTAAACGCAGATAGTTAAAGGTCAAAGTACTTAGCTGCTTTTTAGATATTATCTATTTGTGCTAGGAAATTGTTTTAATATAGTTGCTTCTTATTACAAATGCCTTTATAAAATTAATGCTTAGCTTATCTAGCTTTTTAGCAGCTTTCTTCTCTATCTAGCTCTATAGTCTGTAATATATTATTCCAGTTTTATTATTAAATGTATTTATTACAAAGCTTAGTAAGCTTATTATTCTATTACGCTTTTATATATAGGGATTCTTTAACTGTTAGGCTATAGTTTCTAATATATTAGCTTACTGTGTTCTAGATTTTTATAACTGCTTAGTTAAGCTTAGTAGTATTGTCTATATTAACAACTAATAGTTCCTACCTTTTAAGCGCTTTAATAGCTTTGTCCTAATCTGATTTTTTTAAAGTTGTATTTTGCCTTTATTACTATGCTTTTTCTAGCTTTTTTAAGCTAGAATATTATAGCTTTATAGTTCAACCTATACTAGGTTAGGTGGATACTACACTTTGTAACCTAGCTCTTAAATATATTAAATACTAGCATAAAATTAATAATAGTTCTAAAGCGTTTTTTAAAAAATATGACTATATTACTTAATAAAGCTAAAAAGGTATTATATTAATATATCTATTAAAGCACTAGTTTGCCTTTTTCTATATATTAGAATTGTAGCACATTAATTCCTTTTTATATTAGGTTGTAACAATTGAAATTGCTCTTAACTATAATAGGGAGGTTTTCTCTATATTTTACTTTAGCTTTATAAATAGTGTTACTTAGCATTGTGAGCCTAATAGTGATTACCTTTTCTAAGTCCTGCTTAGAGGAGGCGTACTAGCTACAACCTAGGATATAGATTGATATAATGAAAATGTGACCTATTAAGGTAATAATAACTCCTATTATTATATCTAATAATTATATAGGGAATTAGATAAATGAAACGTCTTTATAAATATATAATAATAACTAAAAGGCATAATGTGTTAGTCCTTCTTATTAAATAATTAGAGTTATAGTGTTCTAGCACTAATATTAGTAAATATAGGGTTTATTGCTAATATTAATAATATTTAGCTTTATAATTATAATTACTGCAAATTGGCTAATAGATTGATTGTTAAAAAGGCTAAGTTAAATTAGGGATTGTCTATTTACATTTGCTAATAGGAAACAGGTGTCTCCTATTAGATATCGCTTATTATGATTTCTCTTTTAGAATATTAGCTAGTAGCTATTTGCCATTCCTTATCCCTACTTTAAATAGACTAATTAATAAGTTAGCTTTTACCTTAGATTCTATTAACCTTATTATAATAAGCTAGATACCTAGCATTTATTATAGTATATAGCTCTCTATATACTATACATTTTAATACTAAAGCTTTACAATTATTTATTTTATAATTCTTAGCGTATTTGCTATATTTTAATAGCTAATTATACCTAGCCTAATAATAGCTATATATATTGTAATTATAGTATCTCTAAAGGTATTAGAATTTTCAATATTTACTAATTATAGCTATATTATTATTAATCTTAACTATATGCTTATTAAAAGCTCTTTAAGCATTTTCTACTATAGTAAAGTAGACTACTATAGATCCTATAGGTTTCTCTTTTTTAAAAAGCTAGAATGCTTTAATAGCCTTTATAAATTTATTCTTAATGCTAAACGCTGCTATAAATTCTAATTAGATTTTATAGGTACTAAGTACTAAAATAGCTATTTTATATATATTGTCTATTTTAATTAGGAAAAGGTTCTTTTCTTAAGTTTAGGCTATTTTAAATACTTAATAAACCTATTTATTATTTAATTATAGTTAGGCTACGTCTTTCTTATTCTAAATAAAGACTTTTATAGCCCTTACTTTGACTTAGATTCTCTTAATAGTAATATTGCCTATAAATAGTTAAGCAGTAATAGCTTTTTAAATTCTTTTTTTTATAATTTTATTATTTTTAGCTAATTTACGCTATTTAGCTATTAAGTAGCTAAAGTCAATTATAGTTCCTAAAAGCTGGCGTAGTTTTTCTAAAAGGGTAGGTAGAGTTAATAGCGTATTGCTGCCTAAATAGGGTTAAATAGCTAATAATAATAAATAAATAGACTTTAAAGCTATAAATATATATATAATTAGTAATAAAGCTGCTATATTAGGGTTAGCTATTAATAATAGGCTTAATTATTTAAAGCTTAAAAGGACAGTTCTATTATTGTTAACTTTAGTACTAATAGTTCTAACTTTAGTATTGAGGATCTTAATATTATTTTTAACTACTTTAAGTTTTTTTTCAATTTTATTATTTTTCTCTATAAGCTTATTATTTTTCTTTACAAGCTTGTTATTTTTTTCTATAATAGTGTTAAATATTGCTAATAGGGTGATATTTTTCTAGTAGAGAGTCTTATTCTGAATCTGGATCTGCTTAAATAGTTTATTAACTATATTATTCTAAATATTGATTTTATTATTCTAAGCGTTTATTGCTTCTTTAATAAGACATTTCATTATATCTTTTGTAAAAACAGCATTATTATTTAAATTAAGGGAACAAATAGGCTGAATCAGCTTTTTGCTCTATCTAATATTCCTAGCTCTCCTCTGCACTGCTATAGCAGCGTTCTATCCCTTTAGGGACAACGCTAGTATGACTATAGCGACAGCGTTGCTAGAACAGTCGGGCAGTACCCTTTCCCTTAACTAAAATTGACGGGAGTTGGATGGTTCGACTCGTCGAGTCGGCTTGTAAATGAAACTGTCAATAAAATGATGAATATCGATAAAAAAATATCGATGTTGTTTTTCTTCTCTGGGATGGTGGTAATTGGTAGGAATGCAGGCTGTGCCGACACAGGTTCAGGAAATCTCGAGAGTATATAGGCATAATCAATTTGCCACTTTTCAACAGTCGCATGGTCTAGTGGTATGACGTTTCCTTCACAATCTGTGATTTTCGAGCTCCTGAAGCCCGGAAAAGGTCCTGGGTTCGACCCCCAGTGCGACTAATTAATGCTGTTCAATAGCATTGTTACTTTTACTGTTTGATCGACCATCCTAGAATGTAGGGTCATCTCCTTTTGCGGTCTACAGGAAAGGGTAACACGATTGCCTTTCCAATATAACGATATTTGTTCGTCTTTTGTCGGCGAGACGTCGATGTTATTGATACACAGTCACATTTGACCTCCGGATATTGATCGCCTCGATTTGCAAGCTCGCGTTTTGGTTGTCATTGCCCCAGAGATCATAGCATCAAACGCTGCCGTTCGTACAAGTCGTCTGATAGAAAAAGTCCATGCTGTATCGAGCCCGTCTAGAATCGACATCGACCTCGATATTTGATTAGCTTCGTTAGTAAGACTTATCTTATGGGGAGCAGGTCCTAGGAATGTTGCCAAGTACTGGCGAGTACCATTTGGAGTCTAGTATAAATATAGTGTTATATATAGGGTCGAAGCTGACAACGGTTCTCAATCAGAAGCGCATAGTGCCCACGGAGCGTTTTCCGATACGAGTCTTTCTTCGTTCAAGATCTTGGAGTATGTATAAACTGATCAAGAATGTTGAAGGCAAGAATAAATAAAGCTCAGTCCTGAATGCTTGTGAAGCAGTTTCAAGATTTAGCATATGACTCTCTCGTAGATCTACAGTGCCTTTGTACGCCGCCAATGGCCTGAAACGATGATGAAGCCCATACTTCGGCACTTAGCCGACTGGCTACAAGGGGTATCGCTATCAGCATGCGTCAGAGCTATAAAACCTTGTCAGGAGATCATCCTAGACAAGATGAGCTTATCCGCGAGGCTGAACTAGCTGAGCATAGAAAGATCAATATACTGCAGTCCGATCTTGACAGTGTGACAGCACGCTATAGCTCCGACGTATGAGCGGCTGAGATGACCGTCTGGGGTTGGAGAAGTCAATGGCTGGTTACAAAGCTGAAGACATCATAATCGAAGTTGTTGGTAAGCGGCGTCAGAGTTTCCCTTATCACATGCATGCGGGGTTCAGATAGCGCGATCGGAGTTCAAAGCTATGAGTTGTGAATGCCGGGATCCGATCTCGCATATAGAGGTTTCCCGACGGGAAACACATTCGGAAAATGATGCAATCGAGTAAAAAGCTCATCACAACAATCTCATTACCACACCGCCCAACGCGCAATTCTTGGCCGATTGAGTGCGACCGCTATTGAACTTTGGCCGCACGCTTTCCATCGGCGTTGAGCGTGAAATTTTTCACTGAAGCACAACTTTCGTGTATTCCTCCTGTTAGGGGAGTAAGTGATACATCAAATAGGCACCACTTCCCTATAGCGATCATAATTGCTTAGCGTGCGAATGGAGCTTACGAGCAATGGTCAAGGCGTTTTTCGCGCCCTGGCCTGTTCGTCAAGCGCGAGAACCATCAACAATGATGTTTCGACGACTTCGCTGACGAGAGCGACGAAGAAAAATAACAAAACTACATGCTAATCATCAAGGTATCCACGTGCGGTGACTCAATGAGGAGCTTTGTAGTCCTGCATTGCGAATCCCGCATCGTGGCTTGACAGCTTGCAGGCGATTCGTTGTAGGGGAAGCATACAAAGGGCGCAAGGCGTGCCCTAATTCCCGATCTAGTTAGGCTCAACGATCGAAACCCGTCCTTGGTAGGCTTGGATCCATGTCCGTCTCTAAAGTTGTAACCTGCAGGGCGTGAGACTGGTAGTTAAGATGACTCAGGAAAACTTAATATCAATTCCGAGCTGCGGTGTCCAAAGCTATATATCGTGGACGATCCCCATTGAAAGCCGAAAGGATAAGTACAATTACATCCTTCATTCTTCTACCTCAAGAAGTAACAATTACCACCCGGATCAACTGTTGCTACCTGTGTTGAAATATCGAGACAGCTGCATTCGCTGCTTATAAGCTCGACGGAGCTCCATTGACCAGCATCTACCACCATGCCTTTCCTAACCTCCATGTCTACCACCACCTCCTCATCATCTGTGTCCCAACACAGCGCCATGCGGTCGAAGCTATTGGCCTTGGGTTTAGGCTCTAAGCCTCAGATAAGCCTTCATCTGGATCAATCCCGCAATACATTTTCCACTCTGGACAAGATATCCGGCAAAGTTGTGATCACCACCAGTTCCAATACTCGATTCGATAAAATCAACATACAATTTCTCGGCTCCTCCAGGACACTCATAGAGAGGATACAGACGACGCCGGGCATGGCTTCATCTCAGAGTGCATTCCAAAACTTTCTCAAGCTCACCCAACCCATCTCAGAATCATCATACCCACAACCAAGAATACTCGAAGCCGGGAGGACTTACGAGTTTCAATTCCTGTTTGTCGTCCCACAACAGCTTCTTCCCCGAATGTGTCGACACGTCGTGCAACACGAGTCCGTACGCGATCTTCATCTCCAAGTGCCACCGACTCTCGGAGATCGAGGAAACCGTGACGGCCGAGGAGACGACATTTCCCCAACGATGGCCAGCATCAGCTATCAGATTGTCGCACAAATCCAAGATGATGGTAAGCGATTGATAGCAGTCAAATCTAGGGCTGTAGACATTCTACCGAACTTTGATGAGCAGCCTCCAGTCAACATAGATGGTCCCGACAGTGACTACCGGATGCGCAAGGAGAAAAGTATCAAGAAAGGGCTTTTCAAGGGCCGATTAGGAAGTCTTGTTGTCGAGGCCGACCAACCAAAATCTTTCCGTCTGCCGTCAGACTATGCCGAATCGCTATCTCCTGTTAACACTGTGGCCAAGATCCGATTACGATTCGATCCTGTCGACGGGAACTCATCACCGCCAAAGCTGAGCAGCTTGAGCAGTAGATTAAAGGTCAGCACTTGGTACTCAGACAGTGCCCGACCCATTGTCCCAAACAAGAAATGCATCCAGTACGACGTCCACCAAGGACTGCACACCGAGATGGTTAGTCTATCCTCGCGGCCTATGGAGAATGTTGAATGGGAGTTCCAGCAAGACGTCCAGTCATCGAAACTCAGCCGCCGCGACTCTGCTCTTTCAAATTTCTCATCATCCGACAAGACCATTCCTGCTCCAAGCGAGCAATATGCAGGCGACGGATTCTACACTGCCGAGATCCTTGTTCCGATCACCCTTCCCTCAAAGAAATATTTCGTTCCTACCTTCCACTCTTGTCTTACCTCCAGAACATACGCCCTTCACCTCGCCCTGAGTGTCCAAGGTGGTGCTATAACGGCACCCTGCGTGGAGCTTAAGCTACCTATTCAGGTTTCTTCAGTAGGCGGTTCCGCTGCGGAGACACCATCTCCAAGAAACTCTCTTACCCCAGCGGAGCAAGTCGAAGAAGCCCGCATTGCAGACGAATTCTTTGTTCCACGGACGATTTCTCCAATGGAAGAGAGCCTTGTGGGCAACAGTAATCTTCTTCGTTCCGGATCCGTCTTACCTTCGGATCTACCACCGCAATATGAGATGTTTAGCCAAATTGCCCAGGGCGTTCGGGTTGCGGGATAACATCTACAAGTTTACTTGTTTGATGCCTGTACGACATTGAATCGAAGCACACAGTGATCGGTGGTGTTTGTGGAACTTTGTCTCTTCTGGGCTCGATGGCACGGGGATGGTTATCTCATTTTTGCTGCTATAATATACCCTTGGAGAAGCGTTTGGCATATTCATACATATATTGATTCTTCAATCTGAAGCATGGGACTATATTATCATCTTTTATACCAACATTCTTCCCTCTTATGGTCCTTCAGTCATGTTGTGATATGATCTCACACACGGTGTAAGGCCGTCATAACGCGGGCTCGGATAAGTACCGGCTTACGTGAGCCTCGTCATCGTCTTCACTGGGACCCTAAAGTCTTACTGCATCTTCTTTTCGTACAAACACACCAACGTTTTCCACCTTTGCAGGATAGAGTTGGATAGCAGGGAAGGCTCTGCTAATACCTGAATTATGATGTTCATTTACACTACGAGATATAGGTTAGCGGCCAGCTCGTATTCTCAACCACGTCATTGGCTTGATAAGATCAAGTAAAGATCCGGAATGCGTCTTTCTATCGCCGTGGTCCGAAAGTCAGATATGTGCTACCCATTCCGTGGAGATGGCATGGGCCACGGCCATGTCCCCTGTTACTTGCATACACAACGACCCATCGCATGATTGGTCAGCTTGGTTGTTACGGATTTTACGCGAGATATCGATCGTTTGTGTAAGTGGAGCATGGAGCTGGCCCTCCAAGGCCAAAGGCCATGGGCGGAAGTGGTGGAACGACACGAGAGAATCAATGTGGCTAGACTGCGATAGGGGATTATCGAGATCTAAACAGCGCATGAGGAACACAACGGAGTAGAGTCCGTATTGTGCAGTCTCTAGGTGTATTTAACATCGGATGTAGTTCCTGGACGATTTCTTCTCCAACAGGTCAAACCATCACTACCCGACTTCGATTGACTCTCACAGACATCCAATCTGTTCTCACTGTAGCCTCTCTGACAATGGCTTTATCTATCATTCTCGCAGTCCTTAGCTCCAGTGCAGCTCTCGGCGCAGCCTCACCACCTTCTTTCAACTTCCAAAACTCCACTCCAACTACGAATGCCACCTTGTGGAGTCCGACTGCGCCTTGGACAAATGCAAGCTTCCAGGGTACATGGAGTCCTACCAGCAACACTACCTCAAACTCAACCTCTGGTTGGAATGGAACAGTACCTTGGATATGCCCTCCAGACACTGTCAATGTTACGGCTACTGTTTTTGGTAACACTACGTGGGTTACCCATTAGAGCAGAAGGCTCCTAGACGCGAGCTTGCCTAGAAGATATTGGAATAGAGATGAGCAGGAGTGGTGTTTGGGGTGAAGGAAACGGAAGAGACTTATTGATAGAGGAGGCTACGCAGATGGACGGGGCAAAGAAGGGACATTTTTTTATGTTGATTTAGAGAATGCTTACATGGTTGCCAGAGGAGCCATTCAAATGCTTAAGGATCGCGGG